TGTTTCGGCGTCGACTAGCATTAATTGTTGGAAATGATGAATACCTTGGTGAAGCGAAACTAAATAGCTGCGTTAAGGATGCAACTGACATGGCAAACTCATTAGAAAAGTTAGGTAAGTGGATACAAATGGCAGTACTTATACAATTCCATGAATTGAAATGCCCACCAACAGACAGATAAGTGTTGTTGCCTTTTCTCATAATCCGTAACCACAGTTACGAGTGAAAAACTAGCACTTTTCTGTCATTCCCCGTTTACACGAGTTGTCGGCAGTTGAGATTGTATGTGTATTATGAAAAGAACCTTCATCAGCAAGCGATTTGTTGATGACCTACTGTGACTTATTTTCGGAATTTGTTTTTTTCTATGGGATTTATTGATTTATCCAGGATTTTTTAATTCTGGCGATATATAAATACTGCTATAACCCACCCTTGCCCCCACTAGCACTAACATCATCACATACATCCTAACTCTCGCCCCCATCCTCAAGCATATCCTTACCCGCATCGTGACTTTGCATGTATTGTGTAAGTGTGTAGGATTTATCCAAAAATGCGTCTGAACTCATAGAAAAGTCTCAATAATTCCTGTAAATAAATCCCGACAGTTGCTAGATTCGTTCAACCCTAGACTGAAGAACTATTAGAGAAACAGAAACTCTCCAATATTCGTCTGTTCGCAGCACTTGGTGCAAGTGACCAAAAACGACGCACGGTAAGCATAACTACGCCACAGATAATCACAAGATGGTCATTCCAGTCATAGTCGTCGCCTTTGAGACCAAGCTTAAGAACGTTTTATTATAATTTTTGTCATTTGTATCGTCCCTTTGGTTTGCCATCAAAGAGATGACAAAAATGATCAATACTATGGTCAGAATGACAACATTGTGGTGATCTATATCATCGCTACGATCCGTTAAACCATTCCTAGGCTCATTTGTACTATCCGTATGATCAGTATTAGCATCCTCTTAGTTATTTGCACCACATGTTGCAGGAAAATATAAACAGGCGATTTCGCTTTCGAGATCCTAAACGTTCAGTCCAGGAAACACTAAGAAACATTAGGTTCCGTACTGAGGCATTTTTTATCCAAAATTTAACCAGTAAAAGTGTTCTGGAAAAGGTTAAACTGCTCTCAAAATGATTGTGCGTGATTCAAGAAGCATATTCAGAGGGTTCGCACTTTTCCATATAAAAATTAAAACTTTCGATTCTGTTTCAAACATATAAATCTATCTATCCCTCTTACCATTCACAAAAAATCTTTTGGGCTTTGTACCATTCTCAAAAGTTGTTTTAACTATTTTAGAAGATTACAAAGTCATGAGATGATTCAGTATCTTAACATTTCTTTGCAGCATATCAGAGTATAAGGTTTTAAAAATTTTTATTATAATGCAGGCTTTACTTGTACAAAGTATATTAATTCGAACAAACTTACTATGGAACGTGCTATCAGCGAATTTTGTACAAAAATTATTGATAATGATTGTACATTGATGTATTTTTCTGGACACGGAATGGAAGCAGAGGTAGGACTATGAAATATTTTTTTTCGAGCGATCTGGAGAATGTCTGTATTCTATCCTTTTCTACATCTATATATACAGTCTGACTCACCACTCACACATAACCGGATCTGAATTAAGCTCGAGAATTTTAGGACCCGACAGGCTCAGTATCTAAAATTCGTAGCGGCCACAGCACATTAGAATAAAAGAAGCGGTCACGTAAACTTCTTTAGCAAGTGACCATTCTAGACTTATCAATAGTTAATTTTCATTTCATCAAATATGAAATAGAGCATAGCGGTATTGTCATTCATGATGTTAATGTCGGTGACATCGAACAAGTATTTACAGCAATCTACTCAACTGATTTTGATACATTTTTCTAATCAGAGTAAATCTTGCTATATGTTCTTCCCAAAATTATTGTTGATTATCAGAGAAACTATGAATCTGCTACAGAGTTACTTTGTAAAAACTCTTTAAGTATCTGTTGATCACAATCTTCTTTTAGTGTTTCATGAAGTTCGACTTACAATTTTCACTGCATATTAGTAATTAAACTGCGATTCGACAATAAGTAAAACGATATTCGTTCTAATATTTGTAGTCACAAACATGGTACTCGAATGATATACTATAAAACTTTAAAGAACATCATATCATATTGAGTTGAGGCTGTATGAGTGGCAGGCGTGAACGAGGTTGAGTGCTCTCACATCTTTCACATCTTTATCCATGCCGGCACTATTCGGACGAAAATTCAATGGGACCAAATCAGTCTTGCACGTCTCGACTTTTCCTATGTGTTTCTGCCTTGTTTATCTTTTTTCCAGGGTATAAATTACTTGTTGCCTATTGAACCGCGTTACGATCCAACATCGAATTGTATAGATTTGAATGCAGTGTTAAAAGGCTTAAATAATTGCGGTAAAAATCTTTTAAATATCATCATTTTGGATGCTTGTCGCGCTGATAAAAATAATGATACATGGAAAGGGAAAGCTATAAATCAACAAGAATCTTCTAAACCAGCCTTTGGAAAAGCATTTACGTCAAATGTTCGCATACCAGTTGACTCACAATTTGCCATAATCTTTTCAAGTGATTCTGGCACAGTCTCGTTTGCCAGTAATTCTACCACAAATGGGAACAGTGTTTTTACGTCAGCTCTATTAAATAATTTGTCTCGAACATCTATAGGGCTTGAAGAGATGATGAAACTAGTAACGCTGGAAGTATTACACAAGTCGATGAAAAAGCAACGACCATGGCTTAATTCCTGCCTGACAGAACCTTTTCATTTCAATGAAGGTTTGTAATGAAAATACTTGTTTTTCTAAAGCTATTCTTCCGATTTCCATCACAACTGCTGCTCATGGGATGCTGACCACCTATATGATAATACCATATGAAATTTTGCCGCACGAACTTTTGAGAAGCCCTTTCAAAAAGAACTAATATGTCTGCGCATCTCTCACGGAAAGGAGTGGAACTTCAGCCGTTTTCCTCCTAAAGCAAGCAAAAAGGCGGAATGTGTAATCAACTTACACCGAAATCGGCTTTTGGAAATTAAACAAGAAAACTCTCAAGCGTGGCTAACGAAAAACTTCAGGCAATAAAGTTAATTTAGGACAGTTATTTTTCAGCATGTTTATTTTTCCAGCAAGATACCTTTTTAAGCTGCTTTTCTTATGAACATTGGAGAGTTTTTCATTCGATTTTCGACATGTGGAAGTTTTCTACAAGCTTATCTCAGTTTCAGTGCCTCTTCTTGGTTCTGAAAGAAAATTTCTCAGGATCAGTTCCTCTTCGAAGAGGTCATCTTCTTTAAAACGAATTAGTCAACAGGCCTCTCGATTAAATGAACTGAGTTTATGAGCTTAGTCTTTTACGGATTTAATGCTAGCGACACTTTATATATTTAAGTTTTGAAAAATTTCTGGAAGCTTACTGGAATAGTTTCAGAAAATTGTATCATGGCTATGGCCGACTTCTGCTTCACATTTATCTGACAAATCATGAGTCCTAAACTCTTCATGCCACATAATCTAAATTTTCTCTCCTCATTATGCGATTGTTCTATAAAAGTGATCACCTGAAAAGTATAAAAGTCGCCAGCGAAACAGGTATATAATTGATTTTTTTTCTTCCACACAGTTTGTTGGCTTCTAGTCGAATTTTTCTGAAAATATTTTTCTTGAAATGATAGCAATTTTCGAAGTATTTTAGATTATATTTCGATTCCTCTGCGTTCGGGTGGAATTGATTTTAATGCGAAGTGGAAACAAAATGGTGTCATAGTGGCGGGAAAAAACGAATTAGGCACTGGACCGAATCATTTGAGTCTTCCGGTTGGTTTGTATGTTGACGAATATAAAAATGTTTATGTCGCTGATTGGTTTAATAGCCGCATCGTTAAATGGGAATTTGAAAAAGAAAGTAGCCGTTGGATGGCTGGTGGAAATGGTAAAGGAAACAAAGATAACCAGTTATATTTTCCGACAGATATGATTGTTGACAGAAAGAGAGATTGTTTGTTCATCTGCGATACGGGTAATAAAAGATTGGTTCAATGGCCTCTAAGAGGTATCCAAAGTGGAAAGACGATTATTCCAGAACTCATGTCCTACGGATTAACAATGGACGAAAAGGGATTTCTCTACATTTGTGACTATGAAAAGCATGAGGTTGTACGATGGCAGGTTGGTGAAACTCAAAAAACAGTGGTGGCAGGTGGAAATGGGCAAGGAGATGGTCCTGATCAGCTCAATTGTCCAATATCTGTGTTTCTCGATCGAAAACAATCCGTGTATGTATCAGACTACGGAAATCATCGAATTGTAAAGTGGGCGAAAGATGCAAAAACAGGCATTCGGGTAGCCGGCAGTGAAAACTCAGGAAATACACGCTCACAATTATCAAAGCCTCGTAGTATTGCCGTCGATCAACATGGAACTATAATGATCGCCGACGCTGGCAATCATAGAATCGTTGCTTGGTTGGAAGGAGCGAAAGAAGGGTCTGTCATTGTTGGCGGAAACTCCAGGGGATCACAACCACACTCACACTCACACTCACACCCACATCCACACACACACCCACACTCCACCCCCACCCACACCCAAACCCAAACCCCGAAAATTGTATTTTTAAAAATTTTCATTTAGTGAAAGATTGTAAAAATAAAAAGTACAAGAGAATGAGAACTTTCACTGGATCATTCCTTAACAACCACAAATATTAAGTTCTGTCGATTTCGCATTTTTGTAATCTATGGTTTTCA